TAGTTCTTTGCAGACTTTCGTTTTTTTAGTAGTAATTCTATATTTATATCAATGTTTCAGTTCTAAATTTTCAGCCTTAGATTGAATCAACTAGTACTAGAATAACTCCTCAAAATTTCATGTTTTTGCCATTTGTAGTTTTTGAGTAAATGATTCGGATATCAAGGCTTGTTGAAATTTATTTCACCAAAGAAATGCATTTTTCTAGAAAATTTGTAAATTTGTTATTTGCAGCTCAGTTGCTTTGAAATTTTAGTATGTTTTGCTCTTAAGCTTCCAGAATAACTCCTCAGAATTTATTGTTTCTGTCATTTGTAGTTTTTGAGTACCTGAATCATTTGAATATCAAGGCTTGTAGAATTGTATCTTAGTAAAAAATGCATTTTCATAGAAAATTAGAAAATTTGTAACTTTGTTGGTTGCAGCTCAATTGCTTTGAAATTTCAGTATGTTTTGCTCCTAAGCTTCTAGAATAACTCCTCAAAATTTATTGTTTCTGCCATTTGTAGTTTTGAGCAAATAATTCGGATATCAAGACTTGTTGAATTTTATTTCACTAAAGAAATGCATTTTCCTAGAAAATGTGCAACTTTGTTGTTTGCGAATTAATTGCTTTGAAATTTTAGTATGTTTTGTTGCCGAGCTTCTAGAACAACTCCTCAAAATTTCTTGTCTCTAGTATTTGTAGTTTTTGAGTAAATAATCGGATATTAGGACTTGTTGAATTTTATTTCACTAAAGAAATGCATTTTTCTGGAAAATTTGTAAATTTGTTGTTTGCAGCTCAATTGCATTGAAATTTTAATATGTTTTGATCCTAGGCTTCTACAATAACTCTTTAAAATTTCATGATTTTTTCTTGTGTAGTTTTTGAGTAAATAATTCGGATATCAAGACTTATTGAATTTTATTTCACTAAAGACATGCATTTTTCTAGAAAATGTGTAACTTTGTTGTTTGCGAATTAATTGCTTTGAAATTTTAGTATGTTTTGCTCCTAAGCTTCTAGAATAACTCCTCAAAATTTCATGCTTCTGCAATTTGTAGTTTTTGAGTAAAAAATTGGATTATAAACCGCTTTGAATTTTATTTCACTGAAGAAATGCATTTTTCTAGAAAATTTGTAACTTTGTTGTTTGCAGCTCAATGACTTAAATTTTAGTATGTTTCGCTCCTGAGCTTCTAGAATAACTCCTCAAAATTTCATGTTTTTGCCTTTTGTAGTTTTTGATAGAATAATTTAGATATCAATGTTGAATTTTATTTCACTAAAGAAATGCACTTTTCTAGAAAATTTGTAACTTTGTGATTTGAAGCTCAATTGCTTCGAAATTTTAGTATGTTTTGTTCCTAAGCTTCTAGAATAACTCCTCAAAATTTAATTTTTCTGCTATTTGTAGTTTTTGAGCAAATAATTCGGATATTAAAGCTTGTTGAATTTTATTTCACTAAAGAAATGCATTTTGTTCCTAAGCTTCTTGATTAATTCCTCAAAATTTCATGTTTTTGCCATTTGTAGTTTTTGAGCAAATAATTCGGATTATAAGACTTGTTAAATTTTATTTTACTGAAAAAATGCATTTTTCTAGGAAAATTTGTAACTTCGTTGTTTGCTTCTGAATTGCTTTAAAATTTTAGTATGTTTTGCTACAAGGCTTCAAAAATAACTCCTCAAAATTTCATATTTCTGCCATATGTAGTTTTTGAGTAAATGATTTGGATATCAAGACTTGTTGAATTTTATTTTACTAAAAAAATGCATTTTCCTAGGAAATTTGTAACCTTGTTATTTGCAGCTCAATTGCTTTGAAATTTTGGTATGTTCTGCTTCAAAGCTTCTAGAATTAATAACTCCTCAAAATTTCAGGTTTCTGCCTTTTGTAGTTTTTGAGTAAATAATTTGGATATCAAGACTTGTTGAATTTTATCCCACTAAAAAAATGTATTTTTTTTAGAAAAAAATGTAACTTTGTTGTTTGCAGCTCAATTGCTTTGAAATGTCAGTATGTTTTGCTCCTAAGCTTCTAGAATAACTCCTCAAAATTTAATGTTTTTGCCATTTGTAGTTTTTGAGTCAATGATTTGGATATCAAGACTTATTGAATTTTATTTCCCTAGAAAAATTGTAGCTTTTTTGTTCGCAGCTCAATTGCTTTGAAATTTCAGTATGTTTTGCTCCTAAACTTCTAGAGTAACTCCTCAAAATTTCATGTTTCTGTCATTTTCAGTTTTTGAGTTAATAATTTTTGGATACCAAGACGTCATGCAATAAGAATTTTATTTCACTAAAGAAATGTATTTTCCTAGAAAAATTGTAACTTTGCTGTTCGCAGCTCAATTGCTTTCAAATTTTAGTATGTTTTGCTCCTCAGCTTCCAGAACCCAAGTAGCATTTTAACGACGATAACCACATAATACACCAAAATTAACGTTGTAGGTACTTAGTGTAGAGTTTAGGCATTTAAGAAACGACGCTCTCTAAACCACTGGACAACGTCGTCTTAGTGTTGCGCAGGACTCTAGTTAAACTACGACGTTGTGACTACGTTTACGCAACCGACTACAATAAGTTAATATTTTGGGAATGGGAATAACGTTCTGACAACGTTCAGGTAACAACTTAAGTTATGTTAAACGTTTTCTCGACGGAGATCCGACCTTGTGAGATTTAACTGAGCAGTAGGAATGTTTTTCAGTTAAACTGAAAACGTTTCCGCCGAGTCACCTTTTCAACTAACCTCAAAATAAAAAAATCGTTCGACCATCAGACCATCAAATTAAAAATGAAACAAGCCTTGAGCCTTCAGATAAACTGCCTCATATTGACAAAAAAAAATTATGTCATGAAGAAAATTCAGGGGCACAAGCCTACATGAAGGCAGACAGATCCGAGAACTTACGTTTAAATTCTTCAGGTGGCCGATCCTCGGACCAGGGAGTAGAGCTTCCCGATAGAACGAATGTTTTGTCCTTGTCAACGTAATCGAAAAGTAAACGAGAATGATAAAGACGAAAATTTTGTTCTCTCGGGAAGTTCCACTCCCTGGCTCGAGGATCGGCCCGCAGGAACAAATGCCAACCCGAGGGCGCGTCTGAATGAAGAAGTAATATTAGTAGGGGAAGCAACTAATTTTCCAGAGAACGAATAGTCGATGCAGGATAAATAACTCGTTCCAACCAAGGAAATAACTCAATAATGAAGAAGAGATCAATGTAGACTAGACTAGAGAAAGAAATAATAATAATACGGCAACTGAACTGCACGAAGAGGCACGTAGGCGCGATTGAAAATTGTGTATTTTGGAGTGTTCGTAAGTTAAACTCACTTTAGTTTTTGGTCCGATAAGCAACTCCAGTCTCGCCTCGGGAAAAAGTTAGTTTTCTGGCAGACTAACGTTAAAAGTTAGTATATTTATTAGTTATCTGATATCTAAAGTAGCGTTGACGCCTATTATACTCCTACGCCATGTTGAAAGTGTATTCTGTTTGGAAACATGGTCCCGGCCATTGACATTTGGTGCATTAACAGGTGTAAATAAAGGATTGTATAGCTTTTTTTAGTTTTCTAGGAACCAATCATATGCCCCCGTTTAGCTCGCGTTTGAAGCGGTATCAACTTCAAATATTGGTTATCTATTTTTTTTTTTTTCAATCTTTTTTTTTATTTTTGAGTTTTGAGAAATTTGCAACGGATTGGAGGCGCGCGTGTTTTTGGCATAAATCCATAGTACATTTATCAGTAAAGTGATATGCGTTGCTGATTTCTGTTTGTATATCGTCGTTTTTCGGCAATATAAATAAAGTATTTGAAGCATAAGAATAACACATTAAGATACAGTAGTAAGTTTAAAGAAAGTGACCATTTTGACCATCAGTGAATATTTGGTTGAAAAATTTACCATTTCCTAAACACAACAAAAAGTAAACTCTCATCGCCATGAGAGAGGGCGCAGGTGTGTAGTTGTTTATAAGTAAATTTAGCAACGTTTAGGAAACGACCAACTGCTACCTACAGTTGAAACTGAAACGTTTCAAAAACCTGGAAATGATTGACCAAATTGGTGCAAAACAAGGTTGTGACAACGTTGTAACTAGGTCGTTTACGCAACTTCTGTTTGGTTGCGCAACTATTTCAAACACGTCGCCGCAACGTTAAATTGCTACTTGGGAATAACTCCTCAAAATTTCATGTTTCTGCCATGTGTAGTTTTTGAGTAAATAATTCGGATATCAAAGCTTGTTGAATATTATTTCACTAAGGAAATGTATTTTCCTAGAAAATTTGTAACTTTGTTGTTTGCAGCTCAATTGCTTTGAAATTTTCGTATGTTTTGCCCCAAAGCTTCAAAAATAACTCCTCAAATTTTATGTTTCTGCCATTTGTAGTTTTTGAGCAAATAATTCGGATATCAAGACTTATTGAATTTTATTTCACTATAGAAAAAATTATTTTCCTAGAAAAATTGTAACTTTGTTGTTTTCAGCTCAATTGTTTTGAAATTTTAGTATGTTTCGCTCCTAAGCTTGTAGAATAATTCCTCAAAATTTCATGTTTCTGCCTATTGTAGTTTTTCAGTAAATAATTCGGATATCAAAGCTTGTTGAATTTTATTTCACTAAAGAATAGTTATTTTTCTAGAAAATTTGTAACTTTGTTGTTTGCAGCTCAATTGCTTTGAAATTTTAGTATGTTTTGCTTCTAGGCTTCTAGAATAACTTCTCGAAATTTCATGTTTCTGCCATTTGCAGTTTTTTAGTAAATAATTAGGATATCTAAGTTTGTTGAATTTTATTTCATTTAAAAAATTCGTTTTTCCAGAAAATTTGTAACTTTGTTGTGTGGAGCTCAATTGCTTTGAAATTTTAATATATTTTGCTCAAAAGCTTCTAGAATAACTCCAAAACATTTCACGAACAATTTATAGAATAAAATGATATTATTCTATTCCAAAGAGTCTCACGTCAAATAAATTGATTTATGTTATGAATTTCGTTTTCAGGTCGAGCAAATAAATCAGGAATACAAAATTCGAGCCCTGCAATGTCATCCAGATAAAAATGCCGGAGACAAGGAGATGGAAGAGAAATTCCAGCTTCTCAATGTAAGGAAAATATTTTTGGTTTGTTAAACGACGTGACTCGAAATAATTCGGGTTTATCTAGTAAATTCCAATTTCAACAAACCCTCTTATCCAAAATCTCTACTCAGTTAAACTCCGTTCAAATAGATTAAGGTCTATACGAAAATAGTCTCGCAATGGAATCGGACAAGCTCCGATAATGACTTTTATTCGAAATTGGACCATTCGATAAATGCGGGACTTTATTTTTCAGGAAGCCAAAGAAACGCTCACAAACCCCGAGAAAAAGGCCCTTTATGACAAGTGGAAAAATAGCGGCATCTCCATGGGCTACAAACAGTGGTTGGGAATGAAGGATCACGTTCAACAGGTAACAATTTAAAATGATTTTTTTCATAAAATAGAAACATATTTGAAATACTATTCTAAGATTTTCTTGTAAAGAAATTCTAGGTTAATTTTAGAGATGTTTTAGAGTATTTTCTACCATGTTATGTATTCTATGACAATAATTTTTTGTTGTTTCCTGGGTCAGCAGCAATTCATTATTCTCATTTTCTCTATGCCTATAGTTTTCTGTAATATGTTTTCCACTTTTCTGCATCGTTTTTATCTATTGATTGGTGTACTAATCCCTCATTTCTAATTTTCTAACTTTTCTCATATAGAGCATAACTGTTGTTAATACATCCCAGTAGATACTTACTCCTTTTATCACTTTTGCTCTAACATTTACTCTATTTTATTTAGTGCCTCACTGTTTTTCAATCAAAATAGAATAATCTTGATATGATATCACTGACCACATTGCATGACAAGTGTATTGTATGAAACATAAAATATATTTTTAGGTTCATTATGCAGACCTGTCCAAAACAGGAAAATTAATTTACTGTGTCTGATGAGTTAACATGCTAAAATTATTGTGTCCATTACAATACAGCCAGAATTTGGACTCCACCATTTATTATTTTCTGAATTTGTGGCTTTAATACGTCATGAAACTAGATATTTGAAATAAACTGTGTACCTATTACTGGATTTCAATAGCTAGGGTATTTGGTTTGATATGTTCCTGAACTTCATTTAAAATTTCGTCTGTATGTACTAACAAATTTCAGTCATATATAGATGAGTAGGTATATACAAGTACAATACAATAACGAATTTTTTGATAAAGTTTCTAGAAACAATTATTTTTACATTTGTCACGAAACTGTTCAATTCCAAATATTCACATTAAAGCTATTGCAATTTTTTGTTTCGTAACCAATGAAAAAATAATTGGTTAAATTTTCCGAATTTCCCCGTACAATTTTTCCCAATTAAAAAGCCTGGCATTATCAGGTTCGCGGAAGTGAATATTTTTTTTCCTAATTTCTCTTTGAACTTTCATCGGGTTGAAACGAGCCCCTTTTATTAAAAAGCTTTTAGAGCCCTTCAGCTGTTCTGTGTTGCTCTGATGTCGTGGGAGCTGGAGTGCCTCGGTGCAATAAATAAAAATTGCATTGATTTTCTGTGTTCGCCAGATTTCGCCGGCAGCAGCTATACAAGCTGGATTTTAGTTGGAAGAATATTTGTTCAGGAAATTAATATACAGAATATTTTATCGTACTTGATGGAAAGATTTCTATCAATGATTATTATTATTATTATTTGAAATTGCGAAGTTTTTCATTCAGCTGCGAATATAGAAAACTTTATTATCTCGACTATCTTTAAGGTTTATTAAAAGACGAAGCTTTGAAAGTAAGTTCGAAGAAATAAACGCCTAGGGGATCATTCCTCTCTCAGTTTTCAGTATAATGGGAAGGAAATAAAAATTAAAAGAACTAAATACATTTTTTCCAAAATAAGATGAATGGCAACAAAAATGTTGCCTAACAAAATCATAGTTAGGGAAAGTAGTGGCGTTCAAAATACTTAAACACAAAGAGCAGCCAGAGAAGATACCCCCTAAATATAAAAACCTCAAAACCAATAAACATAATAAAGGAAGCGAAGGATCTGGCAAGAAAGGTAAGGATATGTAAAAAGGTTTTCTATTTCTGATAATTGGAACAATAAAGCATTAATATCACCTACCGTTGAAAAAGGATTATGGGATAACATTAGGAAGCCTTGCAGTAAAATCATTGAAAAGAATTGACAATAAGATGAAGTTCGAAACGAGAAACAAAAATGGATAAATTGCACAAAGTATAGATAGCCAGAAGGAAGAAGTATTAGGTACACAAGAAACAAGAACACTAAAACAAGTTCAGTTTTGGAAAAAAGTAAATTTTGACGTTGTCTCTGATATCTACCACAGCTTGGGGGTACCCGTAGAAAAAAATATTTCCGAGGATAATAGCTACAACTTATTAGGATTAGGTCTGTTCTCACAAGAGTCTCTGACCGTTTCCAAACTGTCAGTAAACAATCAATCAGTTTAGTTATCGATTTATCTTGGAACGATGGCATTGAAAACAATGTATGGGCGATGCTTATTGACATCTCGCAAATTGTCAGAGACTCTTGTAGGAACAAACCTATTGTTTTCTCGGAAATCGCCGCATTTATAGTCTATTTTGAAAAGACAGAGAGTAATAAATCATTTTCAAGTCACCTACTTTCATAGGCGTGCAGTTTATTTTACCTGCTGTATAATGATTCTAGTCAGTTTGTTATCTAAGGATCAGTTTAAAACTAATTTTAGAGTTGTTACATAGCGTCGTTCTATTATCAGCAACTTTTGGAAAATATTTCGAGTTTCTCCCCAGTTGAAAGGATGAGAAAGTGCGCTTTATCCATTAACGAGAAAATTATAATACTCAACGTAGCTATACAAGAATATTAAATTTCAGAAACATGGAAGCAGTGTTTAAAAGTTTAGTGGCCAAAAACGAAATAACAAAGAAAGTTTGTAGGTACATGTGTCATGTGTGTGACATTAAAAGTGATGAAAATGTCCCTGAAATTAGGAGAGATAATTTGTGAAAAATTCTATGGTAAATGAACTTCAAATGAGAAAAACAAAATAGGAAATCACTGCTGATTAAGAGAAACAAAATTGTTTGTTGGAGGAGGAAATACTTGAAATTGATAAGTACATTCCAAAGAATTTAGGCTTATGATCTGAGTTAAATACAATTTGCTGAGCTGAAGGATTTCTATTGTATTCCGATCCTTAAACAGCCCTAACAGGATAAGCTACACAGGTCAAATAAATAATTAAAGGTATTCTAAACTTGTGTTTATTACTCCTTCTCTTTTTCAAATGAACTATGGAGGATTCTTGGTTTCGGCGCAAGGCTGGCAGGATTTGACCAAGATTTCAATGTCCACCGTGGATGTTTTTTCATTAATAGTATATTTGTGAAAACTGTTTCATTTTTACTGATGCGAACTTGGCAGCTAACAGTTAGCAGCCAAACTGCCGAATACTGCCGATTGATCAGTGGCGTCAGTTGTTTTAAATGTTCGGTGTAAAAATTGATTGTAAAGAAAGTAATTAGTATTCTAATTTGTTGGTTTGTTGGAATATGGTAAAAACTAATGAGAAAAGATCTGCAAACTTCTCAAAAGAAGAGGAATACCTCTTGGTCTCACTTATAGAAAAGCACAAATCGATAATAGAGACAAAAGAAGCGACTCCCATACCTGGAGAGAAAAGGAAAACAAAACACTTGGAAATTGTTGCAGGAGCAATTTAATTCGCAATGTACCTCAAACGGGAGAAGAAATGTGAAGGTTTTAAAGGAAAAGTACAGGAATTCGGGATATTCATGTTATTAACAAACTGTATTGCTGCTTCTACTTCACGGTCCATAAGGGGCAACCTATCATTCTCATCACAAGCTATGTTATGTAATATGGCAGTTGCTACAATGATAGCTTGCACCGTGTCCAAATTTCGTAACCTTATTCCCATGTCCAATGCAGGAAATCTTCTTTTCCAAACTCCATATTTCCTTTCAACTACGTTTCTCGTCCTTATTAAAGACTCGTTGTACAGGGCTTCAGCTTCATTTCTTACAGCTCGTAGGGGTGTTAGCAAGTAAGGTTTATCCACTAGATACTTACTGTCTTCTATGACATTGTCACCAAACTGACCTCTTTCTAAATTGGCATACAGAACTAAATTTGGGAATATGGCATGTGAGCATCATGGGCTGATTAAATTTAATTGGAATTTTCAACCATGGATTAAATTCAAGGTTGGTGTCAAATGATAGCTTATGAAAATCTAAGATAAGAATGTAAAATTGGCTTTCCTCTAAAATTAACCGTTTAGGTTTTACAGCCTCTCAAAGTTGCAAAAAAGTCAATGGTCAACTGTCAATATTTCCGAAACAGTTGAATTTAGGTATAGGACATGTTCCATGAAAAATACTTAGAATTTTATCAGAAATCCGAAAATGTGAAAAAAATGAGCGGTGTCTTTTTAAAAAAATTAAGTTACTACCTGTCCAGCTTTTCTGTGACCACCCTGTATAATAATTTTATTTTCTAAAAAAATGCTCGACAAAAAATAAAATTGACGTGTTCGAGGATTTAAAAAAAAATTGCTTAGAAGAATAATTATTGAATTTATTCCTCACTTTACGGCCGCACTGTATATATGATGCCAATTAACTGTGTAAATATCTGGAATAAGATTATGATAATTGAGTTTGGAAAAATCTCTATAATTAAGAAAAACAGGTTTCCGCTTACCACTCTACATCCTCAGGCCACCATGTGATGATCTGATATCCCATCCATGGGGCGCACCTGAACCCTTGTAATTATATCGCGGGAGGACGAATGTCTGTTAATGTACTGGAAGAGTCTGTAACTCGAGTGGGCTCTATTATCAACTGAGATAATTCATATTTAGACAGCAAACTACTCAGCAATTTGAAGCTGTCGCCGTTAGAATTCAGAAAATCAATGTTGAAATCCTGTGTGTCCAAGTTTGTGCTCCATTTTGTACCCACATTACAGTTTCCTGTGTGTCCGTCCAAGTTTGTTCAAAGGGTTCCTACATTACAGTCGCGTGTTTGTCAGGATTTACCCGAGTTTGCTGTTTCTCAACACTACATTTCCATCACCTAGCTTACTCCAAGCCGGATTTTCCTGTATATGCCTTATAATCTTCGATTGGCACAAAAAAATCAAGACAAAATGGGTGACCCTGTTGTTCTGACGAATGAACAATTACAAACATTACTCGCTGGTATGAGAGATATGTTTCAGAATATGCCACAATCTACTTCGAACCAAAGTACAGCTGCCAATTTTTCTAAATGCGGCTCAAGGTATTCTGGAAAGCCAGATGAAGATGCTGAAGCTTTTATTGATGCCATCACTATTTACAAAGACTGTCTGAATATCAGTGGCGATAACGCTGTAAAAGGTTTACCCATGCTACTGGATGGCGCTGCTGCAGTATGGTGGCAAGGCACCAGAAAGCCAAACATCTTTTGGACTGAAGTTTTAGATGCTCTACGTCATGTTTTTGGCTTTAATAAACCAGCACATCAGATTTATAGAGAACTGTTTTCTCGAGAACAAGGCAGTACGGAACCAATGGATCTTTTCGTGAATCAAGCCCGTGCACTGCTTTTAAAGTAGAGAAAATAATCACGCCCTTGCCAGAGGAGCACAAGCTAGAAATGGTTTATGGACTCCTTCACTATAGAATCAGGGAAAAACTTCCTCGACATAGTTTCCAGAACTTTTCGGAGATGATGATCGACAAATGCAGAGCAATCGAATCCAGCCTTGCTGAATCCAACGTAAAAGTGACTTCCACGTCCGTTTCTGAAAAGCCCAAAGACTGGTGTGCATTTTGCAAAGCATATGGACATGTTCAAGCTGTTTGCAGAAAATTTAAAGCCAAGTCTGCTGAAAAAGCCTCGTCCACTACTTCTGCCCTAACAGTCCGATCCAGTAACCCGTCCTCCACAAATGTAACATGTTATGGTTGCGGAAATCCAGGATATATTCGTTCCAATTGTCCTCAATATAAACCTGCACCAACAACCATTTCCTCTGTTGAAATGCTCGTTGCTGATCTCGGTGAACCTTCCAGTTTGTTATCAACGTTTGATGGTCCGCCTTTAAGACCCATGAAACCTGTCATCATTCAAAGTAAATCAGGTCTTGCTTTCGTGGATTCCGGAGCAAGTTGCAGTATTGCAGGAATTCAAAGTTTTTAAGCCACTTAGATGCTATTCGGCATCCCTTCAAAACTGCTTCAATAAAACTGGAACTTGCTGATGGTATACCCCGAGAAGTTGAAGCAAAGATGTTATGAATAAACAACGAAAACTGCAAATGATTGCTCTTCCAGACTACAAAGATAGTAAGACTTTACTTGGTGTTGATTTCATATCACAATTCGATATAGTTCTCAATATACCTAAGAAGATATACTATTTCAATGAAGATCCAAGCAATTACTTGCCATTACAGGATGAAGTTATTGATTCCAACGCAGTTTTGTGTCGTTGACGGAAATGATTTGTCATTGCCGACTCTTTCCAATATTGAAGAAGGGACATTGAAATAGCTGTTGGAACATAACAAGGATTTGTTCGATGAAAATACAGGAGTTGCCCCATATGTTGAGCATACCATCATCCTCACTGATGATATTCCTATAGCTGCACCACCATATCGCTTATCTCCTGCGACGAAAGAAGTTTTGCGTCAGGAGCTTGACAAACTTCTTACCAGCGATATCATTGAAAAAAGCGAATCGCCGTACGCATTTCCAGTCGTCCTTGTACCTAAGAAAGACGGAACTTCACGTCTTTGTGATGATTATCGCCGACTGAATGCCACCAAAAATGTTCGTTACCCGTTGCCTCGTATAGATGACCTTATCCATTCAACTGGAAAAGCTAACTACATAACCACCTTAGACCTGAAGAGTGGTTATCATCAAGTACCTGTCAGAGAAGAAGATCGTGATAAAACCGCCTTTGTCGCGCCATTTGGACTTTATCGATATAAGACGATGCCTTTTGGTCTATCCACAGCTCCATCAACGTTTCAAAAGCTAATAAACCGTTTTTGTTCAGGTTTGCCGCATATCCAGATGTTAGGATATCTTGATGACTCAATAATTTTATCCACGACTTTTGAAAAACACATCGAAGACTTGAGTGATGTTTTCAACCGTCTACGCATTTACAAGTTGAAGCTGAACAAGAAGAAATGCACTTTCTGTACCTCAGAAGTTAAATATGTTGGTCATCTTATTGGACGAGATGGTATCAAAGCCGATCCGGAAAAGGTTGCCGCTATCACCCATCTTGCCGCACCCAAGAACCTGAAACAAGTTCTCAGTTTTCTTCAGACCGCTAAGTAACTTGACAAGGAAGAATGTTTTGTGGTCGTGAAATTTGGTACAACAAGAATCGTTCGAGAAGCTCAACGCTCTTCTGACTACAGCACCTATTCTGCGTCAAGCCGATCCTTCTAAGCCATACATTATTATGGAAAGTAGACGTACTTACAGAATATATCGATGTTAGACATTATTTTGTGAGAGATTGTGTGAATCAGCCGAAAATTGTATTGAAATATTTATCAATAAATGATCAACCAGCAGATATGTTAACTAAAGCTTTGACTACTACAAATTTTGTAATGTTTAGAGAGTGTCTAAATATTGGTAATACCACATGTTAAAATTTATTTTAAAATAAGTTGATCATTGATTGGGAGTATTGTAGTTTGTAATCAAGTTCTTTCATTATATATCCGTGAATATGGGCAATTCTGTTTTTGTAAAAAATAATACACCTGTTATGTCATGTGGGTCCTGTCAATGTCACGAGAAAGTTTTTGGGTGCTTGCTACTTTTGTTCAGGAGAAGTGAACAAAAAGTTAACGTAAAAGTTTAGATCTGTTGTTTGATTGTAACCAGGAAGCTGCGTGGAGTTGATTAAACTTGAGACTTTGAGGATGGTTTGACGGGGTAAAACTAATTATTGCGCACAATGAAAAAAAAAAAAAAATCATGTAAATATGAATATTTCCACCCTAGTCTCGGGCACAACTGGTATTACTGGAAGTTATAGGCACTAGGCAGTATCAAGATACACGTACCGTTTAGGGTACCTAAAAAGACTTGCACATAACTATGGGGGTGGTTTAAGTAAGGGTGTAAAACTAATAATTGCGATTCTTTGAAAAAAGAGTTTTTGCGAGAATATGGACATTTCCACCCTAATCTCGAGCACAACTGGTACTGAAAGTTATATGCAGTACCAATATACACCGGTTAGGAAACCTGACTCGACTTGCAAATAACTTTGGGAGTGGAAACTAATAATTGCGATTCATCGAAAAAGGGGTTTTTGTGAAAATATGGACATTTCCACCCTAATCTCGGGCACAACTGGTGCTAGAAGTTATAAGCAGTAGCAATCAATATACATCTTTAAGGGTACCTAAAAAATCTTGCAAATTACATTTGAGGGTGGATTAAGGGGGTTAAACTAATAATTGCGATTCATCGAAAAAAGGGTTTTTGTGAAAATATGGACATTTGTACCCTATTCTCGGATACAAATGGTACTGAAACATGGCCGGATTAAGCTTTCATGGGGCCCGGGGCTAGTGAAGTTTCAGGGGACCCTTTATAAATTGAGTGCAACAAAATATATAAAAAAAAACTATATTCCTGATATAACAGAAGACACTGCTCTACCTAAATGTTTTACAAAAATAAGTCAAAATACCTTTTTTTGTCTGTCACCAAAAATTCAGAAATAAAGAGTGTTCCAGGTAATTTTCAAAGTAGCGGAAGTGCAACCTGATATTAACCTGTAGCAATTATCTGATGCATGCTCGCAAGATGAAGTATGACAAGTTAAGACAATCGCTAGGTGTCGCTACAACCGGTCATGCCACTGTGTTTGAAAAGGTTTTTTATTAAAAATAAGTTGAATTTTTCTGTTGAAACTTTGCGAAACATAACGCGAAAGACTATTTGCTCACGGGCCCTTGAAAAGCATAAGCACCATAACGTCTCGACTCAACGTGCGTTTTTCAAAAGTAGGGCCCCTGCGTGGCCCTACTAGACCGCGGGGCTTGCGGCTCCAGCCCCTTTACCCCTGCGTCCCTTAATCCAGGCATGTACTGGAAGTTATAGGCAGTACTAATATGTTATAATTATTATAATAGTCTTATGAGAAAAAGTAACATGGCAGGTACACCCATGTATGTACCTATTTAAAATTTTATGAAAAGTTATAAAATAAAATAAAACTGATGCCACTGATCAATCGGCAATGTTCGGTAGTTTCGCTGCTAACTAGCTGACAAAGTTCACATCATTTTCATTTTTATGATGCTTATGTAAGTGTTTGATGGATGGAGATAAACTCCTCTATGTTTTTGTATAGTCAAATGTAATTGCTGTGAATATTAATTATTCCTATTAACTATCTTTTTTTTTTTAATTTCAGTCTATGCATTGGTCAACTCCGAAAACCAAAGATCGCATGCTCGAAACCGGTGGCAATTCCGGCCCGTCCAGTCTCGGATCCACCACGACGGCCGGACACCGTCGAGCGTCCGAGGGTGGCGCCAATTTACATTGGGGAGGTCGAGGTGGACCGGCTTGGGGCGCAGCAGGCGCAGACGCTCACAGCGAAGTTGTCAGTAAATTCAGAAATTACGAGATTTAAATTTATTAATTGGAAACCTGTTGCAACATTGCATTGAGATCCCCAAAGTCCTCTCTGTGTGTTGTTGTCCTTTATCAATTTGGTGTACTTTTAAAGTCTTAATATTTTGGGAATATAAGTAAAGTGAGGAAAAAAGTGATATAATAAGCTGATGGCAATCAATGATTGAAAAAAAAATTAATTATGATAATATGTTTATTAAAAGTTGGTATGCCCAAAATATTATTTGGATGTTGCCACATTCACTTTATACCCATATATTATCCATATCCACCATAAATGTTGTATGTTGATGTACCTACCCATCCTCGGAATTAGAAAAAAAAATATCAGTGGTTTAGAAAAATAATAATAATGTTGTATTTTATCACTTTGTTAAAAAAATATTCATATATGATAAATTCTATTTCTAAATGCTATATTGCAAAGAAACAAAGCTCAAGTTGTGTTAAATTTCCCTAACATCTATCAAAATTTTTAATAAAAAGAAAAATGTCATACTTACTATAAAATAATAAGTCAGTATTGGAACAAAATTTGATTTACACAACAACTCTACCTCTTTTCTGACATCTTTAACATATACGCATGATATAATTATTATTGAGCATAATCAAAGTCCCACAATATCAGACAGTGTGTGCTTAAATAAAGTTTAAGCATCTTGCTAAAATTAATATATTTAAGTAAATTCAATATGTATTTCAGCAACGCACTGTATAAAAACAAATCATTTTGTTTGTCCTCCCAACAGGGTATGCAAGTTCTATGCACAAACTTCATTGTCCAAAAAACACACACACAATTTTCTATTTTGATAACCTTTTTGGAAATGTATATAGTTTATTATGTATATTATATTTAGTATATATTTATTGTAATTTTTAAATGATTTTATCTGTGAATTATATTTTCTTGTGGAACAAAAACCAATTTAATGGAATAAAATAGCATATCAAAGTAAAATAATAAGGAATTGTTTATTATAAATTTCTAGACTTTTCTTCTTCTCTATCTATATTAGTTTTCAATATTTTTAAACTTTCTTTATTAGATAAATACGTTTCTTATTTATCTAAATGTGATCAAAAGATAAAAATGGTAAGTTAAAGAAATTTCTTTAAATTCATATAAAACTCCATAGTTTTTCTATGACCTACTTCTTAACAAAATATAAAATTAGGTAAATAAAAATTCAAATTTATTGTATTATCAATTTGTAAATTTGATTATTGCATGGCATGGAATTTACTGTTTTGTTGTAGTTAGGTAGATGTCCTCTATGTTTAAAATTGTTGAATGTTTTTTTTATTAATTTCTCATAAACCTACATTTTGTAAAATAGATTTTTACCTTTTTCATTTTTTCCATTGTAAGAATCTATTTTTTTTAAGCATTAAAAATTACTTGAGATGTACCTACTCCATTCTAATTTCAACTAGAAAATCTATATTTTCTTCATAGTATGGTAACGTAATTTAGAACGTTTGTGCTAATAGATCTGGATTTTAGGCTGCTTTGTGGTCACCTTCAAAAATCAAAAAAGCTGCCGAGGCTACTGAGACACGTGCATCTGGAGGTTCTGGCCCGTCAAGTCTTTCAGTGGGTGGATCGCCAGGATCTTTTAGACGAGCATCTGAAGGTGGAGCGAATCTATTAATGAAGACGAGAAAAAATATCAATAATCCTTCTGAAAAATCTAATCAAATTTAAAGTACTTAGGCTGGTTTTTAAGTTTTCGGTATCTACCACAAAACAATATATTTTTCTCAAAATTATGTTGAAATTTAATGCAAATCTATTAAAATAATATATTCTAGTATTTATAGTGATAGTTAAGAAACCTAATTATCAGATAGATCTATAGGTATTATGAAAATCAAAGATATAAAAAAAAATTAATTAGGTGTTGACAGTATTTTTCTGTTGTGTTAAAATCTCTGTGTATAAGAATAAATATAATATAAAAATATTGTTCTGCAAAACCTAATAATAGTTTCTATTACCTATTACATGGTGGCAGCGTAAACCTACCGATCCCTCCGAGATGGAAAATTTTGCTAGAGCTCCAGGAGTAATGGACTTTCAGACTGAAAATTGAAAGCTCTGGGTTCAGAAATTAGATTCACCTATAAAGGCCAATGGTGTTGACAAAAAAGATGATGAAACTAGAATACCAATCTTATTGAATTTGGTTGGAGACGGAGGATTAAGGATCTACAATTCTTCTGATTTTACCAGTGGTTAGGACTCGGAAGATTTGAGGAAGTTGAAAAAAAATTCGATACATTTTGTAATCCAATCAAAATTCTTATTCTTATGCATTTTAATTTTTTTAGTATAGATCAAAAACGATCTAAAACTTACGATGAATTCCTCACTGATTTAAAAACTCTTGTAGCAGTTTGTGAATTTAAAGATAAAAATGTTTTGTTAAGAGACAGGATTGTTTTCGGAATTTATGACAAAAAATCTCAAGGAGTATTATTACAAAAATCGGATTTAGCTTCAACAGAAACAATTACTATTTGTAGGAGAATAGAATCCTGTATCAATACACAGAATATTATAAATAACAAAACTCATACAAGTAGTGATAATAATGTTAATGCCATTTCACAAAATACCAAATATAAAAATTCAAATTTCAATTTTAGAGATGCTTGGACCAATCTACAGTCTAAATGGTTACAATACTCATGTACCATGTACGTAATCGTTGTCCAGAGTTTTATAAAATTTGTAACAAATGTGGTCAGAAGGGACATTTTCTGAAATTCTTTTCGAAAACAAGACAAGTAAATGAAATTCAATTAAAAATTGACAATGATTCAGATGATTATACAAACTTTGTATGGTCTGTTTTTAATATAAATGTTGATAGTACCCAATGGAGTGAAAATATACAAATTAATGAACACTATATCTAACTTAAAGATGACACAAATAGTGAAGTAAATATTTTAAACTTTGCCTTAAAGTAATATTCTGGTCATAAAATACCAATTATTGGTTGTGTTTTAAAACGTGAATTTAATAATAACATAACTAGAAATGTATCTTTTTATATTCTATACTCGAATATATCTCAATCTATCTTAGATCTTTCGGGAGCAATAGATTTGGGGTTGGTTGAAAGTAGCAAAATATATCATGTTGATAATGTAAATCAATCCATAACAGAAATTTTGAATCAATTTCATCACGTTTATAAAGGGATTGGGAAAGTAAAGACTGAATGTAAAATAGTTTTGAAAGAAGACTTTATTCCAAAAATTTTCGCTGCAAGAAAAATACCTTTTGCTTTATAGGATAAAATCAAACAAAAATTAGATGAAATGGAATCTCAAGGCATTATTGTAAAAATTAAAGAAAGAACTTATTGGGTAAATCCCATAGTGGTTGCGAATAAACCAAATGGCGATGTCAGAATTTGCATGGATCCTAGATCCCTTATTGAGTTTATCAAAAGAGAACATTTTTTATACACCAAATTTTCAGGATCTATTTATTAAACTTGATAATTCAAAAGTATATTAATTACTCGATGCTTCATCTGCATTTTTACAAGCTCCATTAAACCAATGTAGTTCGAAACTCTGTACATTTGTACATACTTGAGAATGCCATTTGGCATATCTAAGGCTCCGGAGGTATTTCAGATTGTAAATACTAATCTTGATAGACTTCCAGGTGTAATTGGATATTTTGATGACATTTTAGGTTATGGTTCAGATTTAAAAGCGCATAATGAAAAATTAGAAAGAGTTTTGCAAAGAATTTATGAATCTGGATTGACAATTAATAAAGAAAAGTCAAAGTTTCAAATGCTTCAAATGAAATTGAATTTTTGGGTCACATAATTAATTTTTCATGTATTAAAGCCGATGGAAATAAAATTAAGGCAATTAAAGATATATCAGCTACAAAAATTTCTTGGAATGAATAACTATTTGGGTATTGTCCGTCGTTTTTAGTCTGACACTTTCCGTATGAGGAGCGAGGGGGTGAAGCATATGGCAAAAACAGGTGTGACGTCAGGTGACCATTGGCGTTCTAACGTAGGGAGCCACCAGCTCACATTCCTTTGAAGTATCAGATTAAAATTGACGTAGTGTAAATTCATATCAAATCTATTAGAAAATACATATCCGTTGCGTAAATTGTTAAGCAATAAAAATAATGTTATATACTACATATTATTATTATTATTATTATTATTATTATTATTATTATTATTATTATTATTATTATTATTATTATTATTATTATTATTATTATTATTATTATTAATATTATTATTATTATTATTATTATTATTATTATTATTATTATTATTATTATTATTATTATTATTATTATTATTATTATTATTTCTCAACATCACACAGTTGGTTGCTTATTGCTGTGGTGGTAAAGAAAATCCACCGAGAGCAAACCTTGCCCCTGGGGTGAATTTCCATGGTGCGCCTAAAGGACTTTGCGCACGATGTGTGCAGTGCTCAGCACAACAGATTTCTGGAGAGTAAGGAGATTGTGGCATCCTGGGATAAGTTCGATGGCTTCCTGAGTTCTTTTTGATATCAGTCCTGTTGCACCAATTACCACTGGAACTATTGATGTCCTCACATCCCATAGCCTTTGAGTTTCTATTTGTAAATCTTTATATTTAAGATACTTTTCGGCCTCTTTTTGACTTATGTTGTAGTCCGACGGAATAGCTACGTCAATCAGCAGACATTGCTTGTGCTTCTTGTTTTTCAGGATGATATTTATTATTATTTTATTTATTTATTATTATTATTATTATTATTATTATTATTATTATTATTTGGATTTGGGAGAATGAACAACAACACAGTCTTAAAAATCTAGAAAACTTATTAGCGACAATTCCATTTCTTTGTTATTATGATCACAATAAAAATGTACTGTTATCAGTTGCTGTTAATCAGTATGGCATGGGAGCCGTCTTACTTCAAGATGGGCATCCAATAGAGTATGCATCTGTGTCGTTGAATAGTTGTCAACAAAGATATAGTCAAATTGAAAAAGAAAGAACTTATGGCAATTGTGTGTGGATGTGAAAGATTCAAATATTTCCTGTATGACAGGAGTTTTACTGTACATGGTGCTGCAATTTGGAGTGTTTCAACAGGAAAAACATACTTCCAGACCAAATAGAGGAAAATTGACCTAGACGTCATGGGATCGATTTTCGAGAAACTTCGATTGTCAAAAACCGTAGCACGATTTTCGATTTTCCCCTATTATAAAAAAGTTTTTTATTTATCAATTTTTTTATTTCTGTAAAAACATTATGGAAATACTTTTTTGAGCACAATCCAGTGGCGGACTCAGTTTTTTTCTATATCGCTCCGATTTTGAGATATCGACCAAAGTCCGATATTTTCAAATATTAATAGCTCATTGGATAGCTCTGTTTTTGCTGATTTCAATGATATAAAGTTCGATAGGTTTATCTCTAACAGTTTGCAAGAAAAAAAATCATATCTGTTTTTGTGGTATAGACTAAATCACGATAGAAAGTGAAGTTGACAGTTCGCGTTGACATTTTTAGTAAACTTTTTCTTTAGGTTGTCAGCATGTGTTAGCGCTTCGATTCCGTCAGCTGGGATAAACGACAGGGTCGTATTTAGAAATGTGATATACATTTCAGAATAAAAATTTATTTTCAATTTCTTTAAAGGAAGTTAAGTTATTAAAATCCAAAAATCCTAAAATTAGAGTCCAAAGTAAACACTTATAAAAAGAGTAAACACTTAAATCCAAACTAAAACCAGGTTTGAAACGCAACACCGAAACACAAAGGCACAGAACACTACAGAAAAAACCAAAAAACCGATTGCGATAATAACAATTAAAAAAATAATGCAGAAAACGGCAAAAAACTGAACGATTTTACACAAAAATTCGAAATTCAAAATTCAAAGACCCGAATCTGATATTTTTATGTGTCAAATCAAAATGTCATGTATTATTATTTGATAGTTGTCAGAAAAAGGAACAGATCTGGGGATTTTATTTATTTTCAACTGGTGAAAATAACGGTCAAAATTTAAACTCTATCGTGAATACGACTATATACCTAAGGATCAATGTGTTAGAAAAGGATTTAATATGTGTAAGGAAAATGAGGAAGGTCTCTTTCTAACACATTGTTTCTTATGACTGAAATAGATATAATTTTTTTTCTCGAAGACTGTTAGAGATAAACCTATCAGACTTTATATCATTGAAATCAGCAAAAGCAGAGCTATCCAATGAGCTATTAATATATAGGGTGTCCTATTTAAAAAAATCGGACTTTGGTCAATATCTCAAAATGGGAGCGAAATAGGAAGAAACTGAGTACGCCACTGGATTGTGTTCAAAAAAGTATCCCAAAGATGTTTTCACAGAAAAAAAAAAGATAAACAAAAAACTTATAGCCATTTTTCATAATAGGGGAAAATCTTAAATCGCCCTGTATTAATGGTACCATTGAAGACATCGCGATACGGTTTTTGACAATCGATGTTTCTCGAAAATCAATCCCATGACATCTGAGTCAATTTTCCTCTATCTGGTCTGGAAGTATCCCCTCGTTTTTATTCTCATCGGTGACTCCACCGATGAGCTAGATATCTTTGTTTAGTGAATGGAAAATGACAATGACGGCCATAGAATGGTGGATCCATCGGTAAAATTTGATGAGAATAAAAACGCAGGGTATGTTTTTCCTGTTAAAACACTCCAAATTGCAGCACCTTGTACAGACGGATCATCAGCCTTTATTGGGAAT